ATTTAGATGAAAATCACTTCAGGAAGTTGGTTGATATGGCCCAAAACATGAAGGATATCTGGGTATAATTTGGAAAAAGTTTAAGAAGTTCTGATAACAACAGTGAGAAGAAAGGCTAAGTAAAAGAATTTTCTTTTCTTCCCCTGCTTATAACAAAGGGGACCTGAAATTTAACCTGGTATTTTCCTATTACTTAGCAGCATTCTGGTTTGTGAAAACATTGCCAAGAAAAAGTACCCAAATCTTGAGTTCATACAGATTGTTCTTGCATCTGATTGGGAGACACATAAGACTTGTTTATAAGGTATTGCAGATCCAAAGCTGCACAAATGAAGGTTGACTTGGGGGGGGAGGGTTTGAGTCAGAGAAGGGAAGCTTCATAGACATTACAGCTCTGTCCAGAGGCCAAATGGGAGATAAATCACTGCTGGCCACCTCTCTTATTATTGAAATGGTTCAGGCCTGGGGTTTAACTGAAGGACTTACAGGGTTTTGAAGTGCAAATAGGATGGTGAAGGGTAAACCCTTTTAGGGTTTCATTTTGATGGATTTTTTTCCTGTGTGGATTTCTGGCACTGACTGTGATCTGGAAAGGGCCCTTAAGAAAGAAGTTTTGTTTTGTTTCTGATCAATCAGGCAATAAGAACTTTCCACAGGGGTGTACTTTTCCTGCATGCATATCGATCCTATTGTATTTAAAAACAGGTCATTTAATTTTTTTTTTTTTTTAAAGCAAGGAAACTGTCATTTCAAGGTCATGTCTCTCTAGGCATTAATGCCAGTGTTTACGAGTGTTGAAAGATGTAGTGTTTTTGAATCATTAATATGAGGGGATTACTTAGGGTCAGTGTGTGTTAAACAAAGTTGTCTAGTTAAAGATCAAGTCCACTTTTTTTTCTACCATAGTCCCTTACATCCCCTTATCTTTCTCCCTTTCCCCTCACTCTTAACTTCAGTACCCTCACTTCGTTTATTTAATGTCCAATAGTTTTTGTAAGTATATTATTTTGTCAAATTGTTCATTATGCAATTGCCCAGTATTTGTCGTTCCTAGAGCAAGTCCAAATTAGAACAAGTCCTTCATATATCAGTGAACAGTATGTAATGATTTAATATTTTTTCATTGAATTATATAATTGTGCACATTTAAATTTTTGGTGTGCATTCTCTTTTACCAATGTTAATATAAAACTTAGAAATTCTGAGACTGAAATGATTTCCCTATTTTGTGCAGACACAAAGGAAATGAAGGAGACATAAACAGGTGTTTAAGAATGAGATATGTTGTTTTATGAAGTTGAGATTTTTTTTCTTCTACCCCTCAAATACAGGAGATGAAATAAAACATCTTTTAAAAATTATTTTAGTAAAATGAGTGTGACTCTAAAGAAAAATAATTATAACTTAAGACTTCTTGTGCAAATATTTTAAAGAAAAATAAAATGTTTTTATTTTATTTTGGTATTTTTCAAGTCAGTCCCTCTGTCTTAAGGAAATGCTGTTGTAAATTCTTAGGTTTCTTCTCAGAAATATACTTAACAACTTTTCTTGAGTATTTGGCTTGGTTAGATTTAACACAGATATTTGTGCCATCTACCCTATTTGAAAACGATAATGTATTCAGCTGCAGTGTCATCTTGATATCTGTTATAAAAATGGTTGTTAATCTCTATAATTGACATTGATCACACCATGTTCTTAATTGAACACCAAGTCAGTTTTTGTTTACTGTTCTTCAAAAATTTCATTTCATTTATTTACGTGAATTTTAGAATAAATTTAAAATTAAATGTTACTTTTAAATTTATCTATTGATACATAAAGATTTTAAATAAAAACCTTAAAAAAGAAAACCCTAAATGGCATAAGGCAGTATCCCCTGAATCTACTGCATCCTCCTTGTCCTTCGCCTGATGCTGGGAGATGTTAATAAGACCTTTTCTTTGTTAGAGGAGATCTGTGGCCTTTCCCAGAATCCTCTTGTTAACTGTCTTTTTCACTCAAGTTGGAGGTTGTCTGACGAATGAATGGTGAGCATTTTTTATGAGCGACCCATATTGTTGACATTGTGTCACATGTTGCTTTTTAATTTCTAATGCCTTTTTAATGTGCAAAGCATGCATAAATCTTTCCTGGCAGTAGAAATGAGTCAGCATTTCTGAGACCAGATATTTCTTTATGTAAACAAGACAGGTCAGATTTAAGAATGCTTATTATAGCCTTAGGGTCACTGGAGCACACATGTGAATGAATTTCACTTTGAATTTTATGGAATAAAAGAAAGTACTTGAGGAAGGCTTTTTTCCCCCAAGAACTTTTCTTGCCTCTTGGCAAGTGAATTGCCCCAATATAAAAGCGTTGTGGGGGGAAAAGTAAGCTTCAGAGTGAAAAGGCAATCCACAAATAATCACTCTTTTCTGCCTTTGATTGTGTCAGATTTTTTTGTGTGTGGCAATTGTTTTCTTTTTCGCTTAGAAGAGGTTTATGGTCCAATGTCTGTCAAGTCAGCCCCTGTCTTAAGGTTGCAGTTGTATTTCTCTCTGGAGTTCCTAGAGGTGATGTTATCTTTTGTTCACTCAGCAGTGTGGTGGTTCCTGAGAGCATCTGTCACTTTAGGCATTACAAGATGGATGGGTCTCCAGTGAACTGCTGGTTGAAGCAAATGGTGAAAATAAGAAAAGACAAGGGGTTTCAGGGTCTGCAGAGAGGACAGACAACAAGGAAATACTGTTAGAAATCAAGAGTAAGCTGAGCAATAGAGGACGAGACCCCCAAAGATGGATCATATGTCTTTTTATAAACATCTTGGAAATCAGAATCTTTTGGTGGCTACAGTGATCTGAGGGGGACGTCTGCATCATGGTAAAGAACTCCCTGCTTTGGATTTGTAAAATGGGTTTGGACATTAACAGAAAAGTCTGGGGAAAGTGTTGGAAAATTGCAATGATAGAGAATGTTTTATGTGAGGATTTTGCTGTTTGGACAATGAGTAGTCTTAAAATGTAAAACTTTTAAGGATTTTATCTTTAATTTTTTGTATATTTTTCTTTCTTTCCTCTTTTCTTTTCTTGGGAGTAGTTGAACAATTGTAGTTATTTAAATGTTTGAAACTGTTTAGCCACATAACTAACATCCCTACTGTTTGCAGGAGCTTCTTTGGCTTTTTTGTTGTTTTTTTTGGCAGGAAAATTATGAAAATTCTATACTCATGCCTTAGTGAGGCAAGAACAGATTTTAAGTTATTTTAAGTAAACTTTCACTTAATTTAAATGAACTCTTTGATGAAAGAGAGACACACATACTAATTATTGATCTGCCAGAACAAGGTGGGATTTTGAATTATATTTAGAAATTAATTTTGTTGGTGAAACTCAAAACTTGTAATTTTTGACTGATACAAAGTCCCTCCTATGTAGGAGAAAGAAGAGGAAGGAGGTTGGCCAGGGAGTAAGAAAGGAGAAAGGGGGTGATGTGGTTGAAAAGATGATTTTTTTCAAACTTTTTGGCATTAGTCTATGAAAAAGACCATGGGTTGAAAGGCAAAGAAATTAAGATGATTAGAAGCTTTAAGCTATACAAATGGCAGAGTATCTTCCTTCTCTATGGATGTAAATAATAGATGAAAGAGTAAGAGTGACAACAAAGGATCAGGTCGTTTAAGAGAATGTATGCAGCTTGAATAGGGGTCTGTGGCCCAGGGCCAAAGGTCTTAGCTTTGAGTGTAATTAGAAGAAAATACAAAAATGTCATTACTAGCAGGTGAAGTGTGCAGCACGTGGCCCAAAATTAGCAATTTTAGACTCTGAAGCCATTGGAATTGGATTACTGACCTTTTTTAAAAATCATTAAGGTCCTTGTGGAGTCATATAGTTTCATTGGCAGTAATGCAGTTTGACCTTGTTGACCATATGGAGTAATCTTGGGTTTGAATATAGGTAGCAAGACTCCTGACTCACAAAAAAAGATGTGTATTTCTGGTTGGGTGGCTGGGAAATATATGAGTTTTAAAAATTGAGTTTTTCACTTATAATCATTCTTCTGCCTGAAGACATTTTTTTGACAGTAAGAAAGGTAAGGTAAAGATTTTTATTTCAAAATCTAAAATGGTTCATTTCACTCTTTCCTTTCAAGTTCATAGAAAAGAAGAGTAAAATGAAACTTTTTTTGGAGGATGTAAGTTAAGATTATGTTACATAATTTAGTGTTATAAATATTCATATTGAAATTACTACATTCTTAGGAAAATCTTCTTTTGTTTTCTTTTTAGACACAGCAACAAGGGAAAATTATGTATAATAATCAATGAAGCTTTTTTAAAAATCACCTGAAGCTTTTTAAAAATATATTTTCTATTTTTCTTTGTAGTAGTTTATATTGACCATAATTTACTTAGAGAAAAGAGTAACATGAACACTATACTTTTCAACCAGTTACATGTAATTGTAGTTATTTAGTTTAATTTCTTCTAGGAATACACTACTGAAAGAGTTGGAAATAGTAGCTCTTTTCTTCTTGCAGACTTTCTTGGAAGTTACTAAAGCATTACTTTTAAAAAAGTAGAAAAATAATTTCAATCAAATTAGTTATGTCTTAAATTTTTGTTAGTTCTTTGAGGAGATAAAATTTAGCATCAGATTATAAAACCCAGACTCCTTAGAGTAAAAAAATTTCCTTTTCACTGATCTCATACCTAAAAATAATCTGTAGACTTTTAGCACTATGGTAATAGCTATCAAAAATGTAGACTTAACAGTTATTCAACATACATTTATTGGGGGGTATCTTAAGACCAAAAGATTTATTTTTGATTATGTATAATTAGTATTTTGGGAATTTTTAAGGAGAAGGAATATCTGTATTTGCCTGTTGTGTTTATGGAATTGTGTAAGACTTTGATAATCCATTTCTAATTATAATTTTTGTAGAATTATAAACATTTAGGTTATTATATTGTGGAATTATGTCCTTACATATGTATTTTTTTTTTTATGTTTTTGCAGGTGCAAAAAAGCTTTAAACAAGTAAAATCTAGGCAAGAGGCTCCCTGAAGTGTCGACAACCCACCTTAATCATGAACGTGATTCAAAAATGTTAATATATAAACCAAGGTATTGTATAAAGTATGCTCCCAGATTTTTCAAAATCAAATTTGTTTTAGTAAGTTATATTTAGAATTTAAATAAAGCTACTATATTAGCCCTCAAATGGGTTAAGCAACTATTTCTATGATTTCCTCTCCTCCCATTTTCTCTCCTCCCTGCTTTCTTCATCCCTCCTCTTTCTCTTTGGCAAAAAGTAAAGAAAAATATTCAGCAATAAGGTTTTTTCCCCTACAATACTCTCTGTGTTATATTTCTTGTTTACCTAAATTAGGATAACAACTCAGTTTATTTTCCTTTGTAGACTGTGGTTTTATCTTTCAAACTATCTCTAGTAAGAGAGACAACTAGATTTGTAACCTTGGCAAAAAAAAAAAAAAAATGAACCATACCTAGAAACCATGTATATTTAAAATTTTTATCATAAAACACTGAGATAAACATTTTTTAAAAAAGTTTCATTAAAGTTATTTTCCTATTTTTAGGAGATTTAGCTTAGAAAAGGGAAAAGGTGATACTGCCTCCCCCTACTCCCATGTCAAAGAAAATCAAAGCATTGTGTAGAACTGAGTATTTAGGATATTGTTTAAGGTAACTTGTCTATCAGGGCACAACCCAAGAGTCTCCTTTTGGAAGTTACAACTTGCTTAAATAGCCTGGCATTTCCAATGGAGGCCAAAGAGCTTTTCTTCTTTTATGACCTGTCGTATCCTTTTGAGACCAAAAAGAACAAGAGGGTCATTGCCACTTCAGCCTGGTCCCTGTTTGTTCCTTCATGGTGACCATGCAGATCCTGAAAGCTAGTATTGGCTTAACATTTGGATCTGGAACATCTGGAAAATGGTCGGAGAGGGAGAGGAGGAAACAGAAAAGAGGGGGAACTGTTGCGTTTTGTTACACCAGGTGCTAGGAGGAAGCGACATTCGCCTTTTTGATATGGGAGGCAAATTCTGTGGGCCCTGGAGTTAGGCTTCAACAATTGAAGAGGTCAAAGGACAGCTGAGTGGGGTCAGTGAGACACCATGGGGTGTATTTTGTTACTTAGTAAAAGGAGCAGCCTCCTAAAACCTTAAAGGATTCTCTTGAAAATCTGTGTTGTGAAAAGGTTTTATGAGTCTCATGGCAAAAACTCCTGATTTATCTAAGGAATGCTTGCTTTTGTCTAATGGAAGGATAATCCTTACCAAATGTTGGCAACTTCTATAAGTCAATATAGATCTGAAGAGAATAGTCAGGGTTTGAAGTGTACTTTGCTTTCCAAAATGCTTATCATTTCGATATTTCTCTCTCAGTAAGGAATTTTGTGCAGTTGAAATATCACCTTTTTCTTTCCTTGGAGCAGAAATTATGTTTGTGAGGTAAGGGGTTAATGAATGAGCCTATACTAATTAAGAAATTGTTCCATGAGCTTTTGACTGACCCACAAACAGGATATTATAAACCTATTAAAACATTAATACTTGTTAACTCTAAGAAGTTTTATTTGAATTTACTTTTACATATAAAAGGACTAAGTGGCACAGGAAGCGTAATGTTTCGGGATTGTAGAAATTCTTTTTTAATTTAGTTGTATTTCTCAAATAAAAAATTTAGTTGGATTGAATAGAAGTGCATATCTGTTGATAAATAACTTTAAATCTTGTTTTTCTCCTTGGATGTTTCTTACAGATTTTGTTAGTGAAAAGAAAATCATTAGCACAGTCAAGTCAGAGTATAAGAGAAGCAAATACAATACAGAATTTTCTCTTTGAAGGGAGATAGAGCAGGGGAAAATCTGTGTGTTGTAAGCTCCTCCATAGCGCATGATCTCATAATACCACTTCTATGATACCTTTGAAAGTTGGCCATCTGGTGGATAGGTAGTAAAAGGGGACTGTTAGAGGAATTTGACAGTGTTTTTATTTTCCCACTATTTTTTACACACAGTTTATTATTTTGTTTACATGTACAGAAAGAGCCTATAGCACAATGTGTATTGTATGAAGGCAAAAGATGAAATGATGAATAGTATAAAAATAGGCTCTATTAAGGATTTTCTTAGTGATTCGTAAATTCAGAATACTTGTAAATTACTTCTATATGTGAATTTTTAAAATTTTTTAAAAATAATTCCTCATTTTAAAGTAATATATACAAAAATGTAAGATTTAGCAAACAGTGTGCTATATGTCTATTTTCTCAAGGTTAAAGTACCTTTCAACAACTAATTTAGAAACCTAAGTGTAGTGACTGATAATTTCCCAGAGAAAACCCACAGCTGTTTAAGTAGCATTGAAATTGTGGCAAAACCGACAGATACAATTAGCAATGTTAATAAGATAAGAAGATGGAAAGACCTGGCAGATGACAGAGTGGAAAGATGAAGGAAGCAGAGTAACAAATCCATACGAGAACAGAATGTTCACAGTTGCTTTGAATTTCTAGACCTTTTTCTTTTATGCTAGCTCTGTGTTTTACTACTCTCTGAATTACCAGCAGAAGGGTGGTTTTGCAAGTTAAATAATTCATATACATTTGTTCAGTCCCTAACTCATCTGATTTTGAAAGAAGACAGATGTTTGGCAGTAGTATCTAGGGAAAACAATCAAATTTTTCTGATTTGGAGGCACAAGTTTATTCGTGGGACTCTTTGTACTTCTTAAAGTTAATTTTAAATGTACTTCTACTTGACTGTAATTACCATCAATGGTAATTTCATAACACCTCTTTACAACCTTAGAATTCTTTTTAATTATCCAAATACATTACAAGGAGACTAAAACCGTTTCTGGATTTAGTAAACCAGTACTATCAACACAAAACAAAACAAAAACCTGCAGAAGTCTTTAATGTGTTTTTATTAATTATATTTATCTCATGACTGTTCATAACCCACTTTCAAAAGCAATTCTTGGAACAATTAAATGGGAATAGGTAAATAAGAGGAATGAGGTAAATGTGTGAAAAATATTATACTTGTTAAGTATTCAGTGAAATTTGGAAAATTATTTTAGTATCTTTTGACATTCTACCTACCATTTGGGGAATTGGTTTTTGCCTGTGGTGTTTCATGCAAATTTTAATGATTGCTGTGATAAATCCCCAGAAGTTTGTTCTCTAAAACCATAGAGACTCTAAATTCTCTGAATGTGGCAGTCTTGATGGATGTGGTAAGCCACACTTTGGAAGCATTTCTCGTTATTTAATGTTTTCTGTTCTGGATTATTGACTCTTCCTTCTGTTGAAAAATTGGTCTCTGGTGACTTGGTAGAGGTCACACGTTGCCTATTATTGTTTTACTTCTTTGATCTTACACAGGGATTGCCTCTGGTAATTATACTAGTTCCAGAGAGTCTTGATGAGATGTGTTTATTTTACAAAAGAATTTCTGGCATTTCAAGGAAGAAAGTAAAGATTTCCAGTAGTAACATGTAACTCTTTGTTACAAAGGAAATAGAAATATACTTTATCATTTAATTATAATGGGTTTTAATAATTATGAAATTAGCTGGCATAGTACAGTAATTGTTTCTCTAACAATTTAAGACATTGTATAGCCATAAGTATATTGATAAAAATAGCTAATTTAAAAATTGTTACTAGCACTGGGTTTTTATTTTAGTACCTTAAATACTTGTAACTTCAGAAACTGTCAAGATCCATCTAGACTGAAAGGCACAGAACTATTAAAAGAGGTTGGAAATTTTGTCTTTTAATCAGTTTGCATTTTCTAAAAATTTTTGGCATAGAGGATGAATAAAAATTCTTATTTCTAATGTGTGGCTAGCTTTGTGCTTTTTGGGAATGTGCTTGGGAAGAGATAGTATCTCTTCAAATCCACTTAATGTATAATTAGATAGGACACACCAAAAAAGCTCAATGTATTTTTTTTAACTCAATTCCAGTTTTATTTTTTATTTTTTTTTTTTTTAAAGATTTTCTTATTTATTTGTTTGTTTGTTTATACATACATGCACTGGGTACAGTCAGAAGCGCGGGAGGGTGAGAGAATTCACCAGAGTCAGAGCGGGGAGCAGAGCAGGCAGAAGGACCGAAGTACACTGCTGAGGGGAGCAGCGGGCGGCAGGAGAGGTCTGCGCGCCATGTGGGACCCTCCTCCAGTGGTCGGGGAGCAGCCGGGGATCGAACCGGCGCTGCAGAGGCTGCGGGCAGGCTCGCAACCCAGCGCTCAACCGCTGCGCCACCGGGGAGGCCCCAATTCCAGTTTTAAACAAAAATATTTTCCTCTAAGAACTCACAATCTAATTGGGGGAGCCAGACAAGTACCAGACCCAACTAATTATAATTAAGAGCAACAAATGTAAAGGTAAAAGGATAAGTGAAGTATGAAAAGAGCACAAAATAGAGAACTTTGAATATATGCTGGTTTTAATTTTGGATATAGGCACTATGAGAACTTGCCAGAACCAGGTTTGAATTCCATGTCTAGAAGTCACACATTGTCACTGTCATCAGTGAACAATTTCAATAGAGTAAGGGCTCATAAGGATCTGATTGCTGGCTATAGGGAATGATAATGATTTGTATATGATTGTAAAATTTCTTAATAAATGAGTATGTAGTATCAAAGATCAACTTTTGGAATGTTTTTATTGATGGTCACTTGTTCCTAGAACAATGCCCCAAAATCTACTGTAGTGACCAATATGTACAAGGGAAGGAGAACAGCTTACTGTTTTTAGTACTGTTAGTATAGCACAATGCTAAAAAAAACAAACTATTATGACTAACATTTTCTGCACATTCATTCTATGCCAGGAACTATTTGTAAAATTTTATGTGAGTATAAAGTCTCACATATTCTCGTAAAAACCTATGGTACGGTTGTATTTCTGCATTTTACTGATGAAAGACTAAGTAACTTGCTTAATATCATACAAGATAGTGTGTGCAGGATTTGAATTGGGGTCTTCTGAATCTAGAGTCTATGTGCTTAACCACTTCGATGGTAAGATTTCTATAAATGATACCGGGTTGGGTAGATTTTAAGTTTGGAAATTATGTGACAA